GGAGAAGGTGATATTAAAGAGAACTGCATGGTATTTGACATAACATAACATATATATCTTTAAGAAATATTATTGTACTCAATTATATTTAAAAATAATTAAAAAAACATTAAAAACTGGACATGATAACTTTAGGTTGATAAAGAAATAAAATAGTTTTGTTAATAGAATAAATGATAAGTCCTATTTGACTTGTAAAACCAATGTTTATTGTAATTGAGAAATCAAAAATTGCAACACAGGTTTGTAAAAATATATGTGTATCATGAATACTAACATTAATAAAAAAGATAAATTAATAGATAAAAAGGCATTATAATATGATTTAAAGGAAATAATGGGATAAAATAAATAGTTTACCCTTATCAATTATCAATTTTACCTTATATATATTTTAAGACTATTTTGTATAATTCCTACATTTTCAAAAAGTGTGATTTTGTGGGTATTTTTTAACTGTGTCATGTCAACGCCCTTACTTGACAGACTTGACAGAAATCTATATACGTTGAAGTACCGCTGATTTGCGAAACTTTTCGTCTCGTCAATCTGAAAGTGAAGATTTTACATACGCAAACGATAGCATTGTTACCATTCTGAAAAAAATATTAAAAGCGTTTTAGCAAGGTATGTAGAAATATTTCAAAATGATGAATATCGTAATATGTTCATTTATCATTGTACATGTATATGGTTGTTAGATATAAAAAAGTTATTATTCAAAATGAAAACAAAATACTTAATGACTAGCAATAACTGGACTTATTGCCAAAAGACACAGACAAGAAAGGTGGTTCAGGTTATTGGCCAATAAGTAACGTTTTGGAAACTTTAACACAAGACCTAAAAATATAAGTAAACTTCTAGGAAATAATAGAAAAGTTTGTGTAGTAGATTATTAAAAATATAAGCGTTTCTGGAACATAATGAGCCTTTGAAATACTAATTTTTGGGGAGGCTATGCCTCCCCAATGTTAATACTGTCCGTCAAATCTTACTGCCGCGATAATCAGGTCAAAAAATAGTACCTTGGTTTTTTCTAAGCTGACTCATCACTCATCACAGACAATTACAATATGAAAATATTTTCATTCTTTAATTTCATATCTGCAATTTGTAAAGATAATAATTCTCTGAAAAATTCTTGATTTTTGTTTGTAATTTTTCAAAATCACTACTCCGTGACGTCATACTGCCGCGGTAATCAGGTTTAGGCATACGTACGTCTGTAATAAATAGTTCTGGTATGAAAACCCTTCAAAATAATAACTTTATCAATATTTTTTTAACAAAAAGCATAAATGAAAATTTATAAGTAAATGCTTTAATTTGGTGGCAAATTTTTTTATTATTTTTGATAACAATTTTCCAATTACTACGCAGCGACCAACTGTTTATGACGGGTCATTAACTAGAACGATGCAACACCGTATTCTCAATATCATGCATGTTCTTTTGTTGTTATAACCATTAATAGCCCTTAGTATTTTTAATGACAAATAATTGTAAACTGTCGCTTACATCAGAGACATGGATCATGCTTGCGTGATAACTAAGGAAAACTAACTTATTAATTAGTACACCCCAGGAGGCTGTACGTGGAAAACGCTCATAAACCGCTATATCATATAGCTGTTAGTAAATATTTTGCATACATTTAACTAAAAATTCACTGATGGTGATGAACATATAGTTTGAAAACATTATATTATTGAACCATTATCGCCGAAAAAAAAAACTATTTAACTACAAAACCCTTAAGGACCCTCCGGCAAAATTTCAGCACGATATTACATTTTACATTAGCAAAATAAAAAAGCAATACTTATATTTTCATCTTACATAATTCATTAATCAAACTTCTAACATAAAAGTATCTTTTAAAAATATGTCTGGCAATTAACAGATCCCTACTCTGATCTTTTATTTGTATAGGAATAAATTTAAACATGTGCTCTTTTGTTTAGGAATATTTTGTAGTGAAAGTCTTATATATCCACTAATCTCATATTAGAATTAGACAGGTCAGGGATTTATACAACCAGTTGTTTAGTTAACTACGATCATTTTAATCCCAATAGAAACATTCAAATATTTGGGGTAAAAAACATGACCAAAGTACCTGGTAGTCGTTTACCTGGTGGTGATCCCATTAAACTGATTATAGATTCGAATTGATTAGAAAACACAAATAGAAACATGTGTTTCCGTACAACAAAAATCGGAAGTAAAGTGAACAGTTAAATGACAGAAATATGTGGTCAAATATATTTTAACAAGGAAATAATTACTTCAGAGAAAGACGCAAAGATCAGTCTTCAATAAAATGAACGACCCCGTATTGCGTAATTAGAAAGTTTATTTAATTCTAGGGCAACGCATCATAATTTGATAGTCCATGTGTAATAAAATTCAAATTTTCAATACAGATTATGAGATACATAAAAAATATTAAAGAATAAGAAGCTTTAATTAAAAAGAAAAAAAAAACGCATATATATACGAATTACTTACAGTCGAGCATCGGGAAGTCATTAACATATTTTACGAAACTTTAATTTGAAAACGATATTTGCGCGCGTTGAAGTGATTAATGTTTATTTGAAAAATAAAAAAAAGAACTTATATGTTTGTGTTCTAAAAATAATCGGCGGCATAAGAGGAATCTCTTATTCATTTTACAACACTTGAAAAATTACTACAGAAAATGTGTTGTTGTTTTTTTGTTTTGTTTTCAACAAAAGTGTGTGTGTTTTAAGATTATTTATACTCGGCACCGGAATAACCATATGTCCGAGATTATAGCATCTGGGACGTCTTTTTCTAGCAGATTCTTCCTGGTAGCCCATTCTTCGTTCGTTGGTGGTAAAGGAGACGACAATACCGTCAAGGCATCAACTTTCTGACTGACGACAACAAAAAACGGCATTTATTAGCGCCAAACCTCCAGAGTAAGTCACGACAGGTCAACCAATCACCTCTGGTACTTATGATGACTTGACCATGACCTTCCGTGTGCCTTTCTTCGCGACGTGCACGCCTCTGGAGGGATTTGGAGAAGTTTCAACAAAAACTTCCAAAACACGCCATTTATAACACCATTCATAGCACTGACGCTTCGACGTTCTAATTTATTTGCGAGGGAAAACCGCACACCCTGTTAACAACAGATTTTCCGCAGTATATATTTCAAGCTAGTGAGGTTTAAAAATACACGTAGAATCTATCGATTAACTACCATAAGTTGGTTGAGTGTTGGCGGTAAAAAAAGAAGATATAACTTCCTGATCAATTTTCACTTAGGTTGATTCAGTTTTGATTAAGCTTTGCAGACATGTATTTTTTCAAGAAATATTTAGCTTTAATATTATCCGACACCGTCAGTAATGAAATGGAAATAAATTTCTGAAACGTGATTTTATTCGAGAAGAAGACAACCTTCTGTCCGTAGAGCATGAATATTAATACTCATCACAAGACAGTATCTTATTGATCTCAATTATGGTACATGTAAATGTGTATAATTTTTATGTTCAATAAAAATGTTGCATCACTTGCAGTTGTTATTATCATTCAATAATATTAAAAGAACAGTCCTAGAATATTTTGATAAGGAACCGTCAGTTGTAAAATGTTATTGTTATCTTATAATGAACAGTCGTCATTCTTTCTGGTATGTCATTTATTATTGACAGTTGAGGTTTTTCAAAATTTGCATGATTAACAGTCCGAATGTAGACCTCAATGAAATGTTCTGGAATATTAACAAAATGAATAGTCAACCATATTAACCATATATATGAATGGTTGAACACAACAGTAAGGATAAATAGCGCAATGTGCATATCTTTTTATTTGGGTAATAATTGAAATAACAGCACATTTTAAGCAAAAAGAAAAGAAACTAAAAGTCTGAAACATTCTGTCATAGCCTCCCCATCAGTACATTCAGTGCTTTGATTATTGTAAACCATTTATCAGAGAAAATGACTAACAATACGTTTTTGTTCAAATAGTTCTGCCTGTTACCTCATGATAATTATGCTCATAACTGACTGAGTGCCATGTAATATATAACCCTTGAAAATGCCAGGAATTTAATAATCTCAGTATTATCTGTGGTATTTTATTTCCGTAAATCTGGAGGCGGGGATATAATCATCACATTGTTTAAACCTACGCAATTTTCTTCACAATTAAAACTAGATATTTTACCTTACATAAATGTGTTCTCTTTTTTGTATGTAAGTGTATAGGGGCTTATAAATAATATAGCTTTCACAATAATATCAGCGGTCCGACAAAAATGTATAGTGACCGACTGAGCGAGCTTTATTACGGATCAAAAATCCGCGAAGATTTCATATACATAATGCACACGATACAAATAGTTTTCAATTTACATGAAATTTTGTCATTAAAATGATATTTCCTGTTGAACTTTGACTCTCATTTTCACGCAAAGTGCGGCATAATTTATGAAATAGCACACAAAACTTTGAACCTTATAGCATTAAATAGTGACTTAACACTGAACGGACCTTAAAACTTCAGACTGACTGATAGGTATCTATACTACTATGTAGCTCTCAGTGTTGTGTGCTTTATCTTACAATGCTTTTTTTCCTTCTATTCTTTGTTACATAACAATGGTATCTGTTGTAAAGTGTAAAAGTGACACATCATAAAACATGTTAATATTAGACTTTTGCAGCTTACTCCGATGCGGACAGCAGACGATGGACTACTGATCATTTCAGGGGTTTTCTCAAAATAATAATACTGTATATAATTTAAAGTTAAAGGGTAAGTAAATGATAATAAACAATACAGTTTTCAAATTTATGTTAATAGTTCAAACCAATTTATTTCCGTCTGCAAACAAGTCCGTCACATATCATTACAGTGTTACTTAACAATTTTCTTCACACCGTCCTTCACTGTAAGACTTGAGTAGCGATATTGCATGCTCCACAGTCACCCTGTATGATTTTACATACCTATTAAATTTTCTACATTTTCGTAGCTCTTGGTCTCGTTTTCGCGACAGTTGGGCAGACGTTTATCCTGTAATGATCGGATACCTGTAAGGATATATCTTATCTCCTAGTATGATTAACTCACAGGGGGGGGGTCAAGTTCATCTGCTGGATCAATATTTGTCATCGGTGCATACTGCTGTGCATCATTTATGTTACCAAGGATATATATATATATATACCGTGTACATGAAAGAAAAGAATTTTACAAACCCAGGACCAGTGAAATAATGAAAGTGATTAATGTTCATTAAAACGAAAACAAATGTTGAAAATTATATAAATAAAACTCCTGAAAAATAAATGCGATAATATATCCTTATATACAGTTTTAGTAGAATACAATATTAGACTATAAAATAGTAACTGCTGTAAAAAATTTGAATCAATGAATATGTTTCGTTAAATTACATTTCCCTTTGTAGCGATTGACCAACAACCCGGACCTGTTCCAAGACCGGCAACCGTGGCTGCCTCTCCAAGACAGCAACCGTGCCTGCCTCTCCAAGACAGCAACCACCGTGGCTGCCTCCTCAAGACCGACAACCGTCGCTGCCGCTCCAAGATCGGCAACCATCGTTGACCGGCATCGGGATTACCAGGCCGGAAAGAACGACAGGGGAAGATGAAGAAAAAGACCACTAGCAGCATTGATCATACAAAACAAGCTGGTATACAACAAGTCCACCACAAAAAAAAGTTCCCAAATTATTTAGAGAACTCGGAGTCAGCTCCGACGATAAATGAAAAATTTTATCGATGCACTATGTCAAATACATTATGACAATAAAATGTCATATAAATAATAACATGTTTTTGTTTTTATCACCAGAAATATTGAAACTTCCGATACGCCCATGCATAGATGAGAAAGTTAAATGTTCTGAATTTTGACTCTTCTCAGTTTACAACCATTTTGAGAAATTCCCCGCTACATTTGTTCGTTATCAGATGTCCACTGTCTGCGTCAGAGTAAGCTGCAAAAGTATATTTTAAATACAATAAAGTGGATAGCATATATGACAATCAAAATATGTTTTCATAGGTACCGACAATAAACCATGTTTAACTATAAATTGAATTAAGGGGTCCATCTTGCTTTTACAAATAACTGATCAAATCTCATATATAGGGACAGGACGTGAAGTGGTTTCAGAGACGAAATGGTTGCAAAATGTCGACGAGTTATAAAATATGTAACGTCCGCTAGTAATTGTTCCAGGCGCATAGTTTAAATAATATTTATTTGATATCTTTATATTTACATAATAAGATACATAAAACGGAATTTGCGGATTGAGAAGGACCCTTTAAAAGCTTTCATGAAAGCACTTTCCAAACGGATAGATAGTTAAGATTATTTCGGGCTTTCTGTGTTTTTGTTTTTCATATAAAATGAATTTCGTCATACAGTTTATTATTAAAGCTAAATTATGAACAGAAACTCTATTTTGTAGTTGTCCTAACGTGATGGTCATCTATGATTATACAGTGGGCTTTTGTAATATGTGCTTTCTTGGGTGGGAGGGTTTTATATTTGTCATACCTGCAAATATGAGTGTCATTCATTGAATTTATAGTTGGGAGGGCTTTTGTTCGGATTGGAAGGGGCTTTTTGTCTATTCCCAAGTTATAACTATAGACGTCATAAGAATGCGTCAATTGTCGTTTAGTCAAGTCTTCAATGTTAGCGTATTTAACACCTTATTGTAAGTATTGCTATAATTTTTCAATTTCTTATATTACCTAAACATGTTAAAAAGAACGACGCAGCGTGAAATAATTATAGCTTTTATGACAATCAGAAGGCAACGTGTGATAGAAAATAAAATATCGGTCATTCGCAATGTAATATGCGATGACAAGTCAATTGTCAGAATTGTAGCATTTGTCCGAAATTGTATATGATTGTTTTTACTTTTGAATAATACGTTGAAGGATGAAGGTCAAATAGTGTGAAACAAAATGTACATTCATGTTTATAATATTGAGATCAAATTTAAATTTGTTATGTACCCACTGCAGTATTTAAATGTTTATTTCGTAGAACAACTATATTTAGAGTTCACCATAGACTGTGATAGCTTTATATAACCTTCATAAAATAAGGACGCATTGGTTCTTATTGCAAAACAATTTAATTGTATTAAACACACTCCTGAGACCAGAAAGTTACCAACTTTTCCAAATAATAAAATGGACAAAAAGGTCCTTCATAAAGCACAAGAAACACCACAGCAAACCATAAAAACTATCAAATTATGTAGTATCTTTAGAGATATCATACTAGCATTAAAAAGAGGTGTAACTTTCTACTTTAGGTATTTCCGTTTCCAATTAGCCTACTTTATATGTTTTATGAAGAAATGAATAACTATAAACCATTGTCATTTTAATTTATTGTTGCATCAACGCAATAAAGAGATATAGAAGTAGATCATTAATTTGATATTGTATCAAGAAATATATCTGTCAACAAACTATTCGGCTTGACCTAAGATTGTTGTTTTGTTCAAAAGGCGATAAGTCTAGCATTTGTGTGTGAATAAACAAATCTCGCCTGATCGTCAATAAGTGTGTCTTTATGAGGCAATAAGACCGAGTCAAGCATCTTTTATTAATTTTACTTATACAATGCTGATTATGGGACATTACTAGAGTCCACAATGGAAATAAGGGTATACCCTTTCTTTGTGATATCCCTGGTGTTGATGTGAATAGAATGGGTTATGTTTAGCTCATGCTTGAGCTATGTTGTTATTTTTCACACCATGTGTTATAATACCATGTATGTACGTTATGCTAAAATAAATATTATCTTTATCATAATTGTATGATATTGCAAAACAATTATAACGCCTTTTATATTGTTTTCGTATCCTTTTTGTGCTCCTATCGGGTTGGTGTGCTTTATTTGATATATTATAAAAACAGACTAATTTAACAAAAAATGTTTTTAAATAAACATATAAAGCAATTTCAATTGATATAAAAAAAATTCTAATGAAAACAACTACTTTTTTTTGTAAAAAAAAATTTTTTTGAAACTATATGGACGTACATGTACTAACTTTAGACAACAGCAGCATAAGAAACGTTATTCAAGTTGTAAATATTTCAGGACCGGTCTTGGTTCAAGTTCAAAAGACATGAATGTTAACTATAAGTATTCGATTTACTTGTTAATCATTTCGCCCACAGAAAATAACCAAGTTTTCAGATTCAAAAGAGCACAGACGTCAGCTTGACTAAATATAACAAATTTCATCATTAAATGTGATTACATCTAACACAAATTGCACATTAAAATATTACCTCGCAATTCGTCATAAGCGTCTAAGATTTAACGATACAGTGACTGCGTACGTATGCTTTTAGGTTCTTTAGGTGTGTAATGTGTTTACTGTCAACATTCAAAGAAGACAAACAAGTGTCAATGTCAGGTTTTAGTAATAGTAAAGAAGCCATAGTACCAAAACTGATGCAATGTGAAGACCCTACACCCTGCATGATCATATACGTACTTGATATGTGCAGTAAATAACGAATAGCGTCAAGAAACCGGTTAAAATAACATAGTTTATACTTCATTCGGTATACTTTTGAAATTCACAAACATATGTATTGTATACATGAACAGCAACATATAAAGACAGTTTTCTCACTCCTAGAACATGTAGCAATATGACTACACAATTTAGCCTAGACGCTTCATGGTTATGTGTAATTTGTTAAGAAGCAACTATCATACGGATGTTTTTCGGCCGAAGGCCATATTAATTCAGTTGACTTCCTGTAAAATATACTGGGAAGAACTGAATATAAGAAAACTTGTTATTGGTCATGTAAAAATTACAATTTTAAATTTGATAATCTCCTTGGCCATTCTAAATTTATTTGTAAAGGATAGTTCTTGCTACTGCAAAAAAGTTTAGAATAGTTCTAGAAAATAAAATGTAAAGGATTAGTTTTCGCCATTATAAAAAAGAAATGTCAAGGATAGTTCTAAAATAAAATGTGCAGGATAGCTCTTTAATATTTTCTATTAAAATAACTAAGATATCTTAATTCTATTCAATCAAAATTCTTCCCACAAAACATTTTACACTGTATTTAGATCTCATCACATTTTCTGGTAAACATTTTAATTCACATAAAAACTTCCCGAGTTTACTTTATGCAAGAACTTATATGAAAAAAAAATGACGGTCGTCTAACCCATTTAGAAAAAAATGATTTCATATCGGCGGAAGATCACATGTCGCTTTCTGACAAAGCTGTCGCTTTCTGACAAAGCTATCAAACCTGTTAACTCGTGCATGGTTTTACACACATTATCACTATTTACATTATTTTTGAAATATGGGGAAGGACTAGGTGGTCATCAACATGAATCAGGTATAGAAACCTAGACGTTAACTTGTTAACATGTGAACTCGTGCCATGATTGTACTAGCTACGCCCTGATCATCAAGCTACAAAACGTTTTTAAATTTGCATGTTGCAGGCTGTTTACAATTCTAAGAAGACTCCAAGCATCCGCTTATCCAATTTCTAAACTAAATGTTGGCTTTTATAGAATTTACAAAATTTACAAAATGTATATTGTCATTAAGATATAATATATGAACATATGATCTCAACGATCTGTTTTCAATATGTAGTTTTATAGTAAATTCAAACTGGCCATGAAGAGTAAAAAGTAGAAGCACGAGCACACTCGTGCATTCAAGGGGAGGGTGAAAGAGGAATGCATGGTATTTGATATAACGTAAAATATGTAACTTTAAGAACTATTATTGTACTAAATTATATTTGAAAATAATTAAAAAAAATAAAAACTGGACATGATAACTTTAGGTTGATAAGGAAATAACATAGTTTTGTTAATAGAATAAATGATAAGTAAACGATCCTCGTCCTATTTGACTTGTAAAACCAATGTTTATTGTAAATGAGAAATCAAATATTGCAACACAAGCATGTAAAAATATAATTTATGTGTATAATGAATACTAATATTAATAAAAAAGATAAATTAATGATAGATAAAAGGCATTATAATATGATTTAAAGAAAAAATAGGATAGTTTAGTCCCTTATTAATAATCAATTTTACATTATATATATTTTAAGACTATTTACATTATATATATTTTAAGACTATTTTGTATTATTCCTACAGAATGTCATTTTCAAAAAGTGTGATATTGTAGGTAGTTTTTTAATTGACAGACTTGACAGAAGTCTATATACGTTGATGTACCGCTGATTTGCGAAACCTTTGGTTTCGTCAATCTGAAAGTGAAGATTTTACGACTATAAGACTCTCTACGCAAACGATAGCATTGTTACCCTTCTGAATAAAATACTAACAGCGTTTTAGCAAGGTATTAGAAATATTTCAAAATAATGAATATCGTGACATGTTCATTTATCATTGTACATGTATATGGTTGTTAATATGAAAAAAGTTATTTTAGAACTTTTCCAAATGAAAACAATAGTTGTTTTATATTGCCTGTCAAATTTGCAATATTAACTTCATTTCTCGAGGCATCAATTTCAATATCGTTT